TCACTGTTTGGGGTCTGACTACTGCTCAAATTGAACAAGCTGTTGCAAGTGGACTGGGTGCACTGCAAAATGTTTTCCCGATCCCAGTGCTTGTCCAACTTGTCCTTCGAGTGCGTCTATGCTTATGAAGCAGAATGCTTCATTTTACTGGAAACCAGAAAATAATTAAACAAACAAAGAAAAAACAGGAAAAACAACAAACAAAAAAGATACAAATTGCACCAGACTGCTTTGTATTTGTTTCTTTCTTGTTTCTTTTTTGTTTCGTTTTTGTTTTTTTGTTCCTCGGGAGACTCCGGAATCCCAAATCTGCATTTTCCTTTGGAAAAAAAAACAAAGCACTCTGGCGCAATTTGTTTCATTTTTTTTGCCTGGTTTGTTTTTTGTTTTTTTTTGTTTGTTGTTTTTTTTTAATATTATTAATTATTTTCAATTGTCCAATGAATGCATGCCTCTAGACGTCATAAGTCTATGCAAGCCATGCAATAAGGCCCTAGGTTCCAAACATGTCCAGCTTCAAACTCTTGAAAAACACCTCCACCTGAAGAATAGCCAACCTTTGAAGACTCGATCCTGTCCTCCTCCTCCTCTGACACTTCCCGCGCTAGAAGCTGCACTTGATCGTAGACCTCATCACCGTGCAAGGATGGGGCGAAAAACTGTCTTTCAAATCTTTCAAAGTTGCTCAATCCAAGCAAAGCGAGCTACAATGTCAGCCAAAGCCAGTGCTCGTACAAACAATCCAACATCGCGGTTGGCAATCCATTGGGAAATGGTTTTGTAATGTTTTGGTACATGCTTCGTTGCCCCTTAAAAGCCTTGCATTTTGGCATCCCAGCCTTCTTTGCAACCTGCTGGCTGGCGGCCTTCGGCTGTAGCTCATGAACAAAAATGTGATATCAAATTTATCAACACCATTCAATCACTATCAGCAGTTTGTTGGTTGCATATGTTTGCATTCCATCTGTTTGAAGTCATGGCGTCATGACACCACAGTGACCCAGGCCTCGGCTTCTAGTGTCACTGACCTGGCCAGGTTCAGGTAGACCATAGTCCAATGGTAGATCTATGTGGATGTTCTGCCCTTGGAGGCTCTTCCCATTTCCCAATATGTTGGACGCTGGATTTTTGCATATTTGGTTCATACCATTACAGATTATCCTTATCTTGACATATCTTGACCATGTGTAGAATCTGAGAGCCTCTATTTCGGCCTCAGTCAATCTAGCATGCGGCATCATCTTTCATGCGGGGTTTATTGATTTCAGTCACATCACCAACCGTCACAAGCTCGTCTGCATTCGCGTGATTTTGCGTGTCCAAGGTGAACCCTTCCTTTGATGCCGCTGTGACGCAATGGGTGCATACTTGCGGATCCTTGCCTTGTGCGCCTTTCATGCATTACTCTCTTGGGCACTTCTTGCACCTGCCTGAAGTATTGACAGCCAGCTGTAGCTCCGGAGAAGTGGCAGTGGGCTCCCTTGCACTTCTACTGTCTTGACACTTCTACTTTCTCATTGCTACTTTTGGCCAACGTTCAAGCCATTCAAGCAGACAAAGGCTCTGGAGGTCTTGAGGCCGGTTGAGACCGGTTGAGGCCGGTTGAGGCCGGTTGAGCGCCAAGCACTTGGCCAGTCTCGTAGTCTAAGAAGTCGTATTCGCGGTGGATGTACACCTGGCAAGTGGCAAGTGCAGAGGGAACTGTGCATTGACATCTTAGACATCTTGATCAAGTGCCGCTTTGATGCCGCTTCCCGGTTTCAGGGACGAACTTGACAGTCAAGTCATGTCGGTCAGACCGAAGGTCCGCAGTCCTTTGCAGGGAGTCCATAGAATTGGCTGAATTGGCATTAATGCCGTGTAAAAAATATTATCCATTTCCATCCACACTCAACAGCAGTTACGAATCACAACAAAAAGGACCCAGGCTAAGTGTTTTTTGTGGGTAAAAAAGTTACTACATCAAAGAATTGCAAGCTCTGACTGCACAACCACCTCCAAGAGGGACAGCGAGAGATGGCTTGGGGCTTCACAACTTGCCTAGACAGTCCTTACAAATGTGGATCTCTGAGCACGACGAGCAAATGAAATGCATATCGCCAGGCCTGAGTGGTGGCACTGAACGACGCGACGCTATGGGATCTCATGGGACAGTCAGTTCCAAAGCCAAGAATAAGGCTTGAACTGCAGATCGACTTGTTCACGTTTCACGTGTCGTCCAAATCCGTATATAATCCTCTGTGTGCCAAATGTGAAGCTGCTCCCTCCCAGTTGCGGATGAGTGGCAGAATGTCTTCCTCGCAGCGGCTGCACTCCTGGCACGTGTCTGAGGCTTGCATCAGTGTAGACAAAGCGACAGAGAGACCGTTGGCCCATGGTGCGATCTATTTCATTGGCTTCGATATCGCAAGGTTGTCCAAGACATCTTGTTTGCAACATTCGTTTTGATTCTGATCCAGATAGCAGAAGTTTACATGTGCGGAAGCTGCCATGTTATGCCTACGCTCCCACACAAATATTAAAGGTTGTAGTCCTGCCATTTCTTGAATTCCCTGAGCAGACTTTGAAGTACTTTAAACATCTTTAGACCCACACAAATGAGGTGCCACTCTGTGCCCTGCTATCTGCTGCAAGTCTGCATCGTTTGCAAACCAAGGGGATCCAAGATCGTTAAGTAGCCGCCCAGCCTTGGCTGAGCTGCACATGAGGAAGGTCTGGTACCGGGGCAGCCGAGCATATCGGTGAAGAGGTCGGCCTCAGAACAGAACCACTGTTCAAACTGCTGGATGCCCATGGATGCGTCCTCAAAGGACTGGTGTTTGACATACCGTGGAAATACTTCATACGAGACACATGAACTCAGATTGCAAAAATGCTTCTCCAGATCTGTGTTGATGCTTGTCATATCTTGTCACGAGATCATGGGGCCAACGGATTTTGAGGGCAACCCTGCAGCCATCCTGTGCGAAAAACAGCAACTGGGCTCGCTGCGGCAGCTGTCGCACAGAGAGCGTTGCGGTCCACTAACCATTGCGTCGCCATCCTCTACACGCCTCAGACCAAAGAAATGCCATGCCCCATCACAGAATCAAAGTATATCAAAATGCACAAGTGTCCCGAATGTCCTGTCCAAGAAAATATAAGAAAATGCTTGAGAACACTTTCGGAGTTCCCAGAATTTCCCAGATCATTTCCCGTGGGACGACAGTTGACAGCCACGCAAAAAACATCAAAAAATCCAAAACCGGGAGATGATGTGAGTCCCGGGCCTGGCTGCTTCATCCCAGTCGTGCTCATCTTCCAAAACGTCCTGGCCAAAACAAATCACAAACATCGCAGCCTCAGAGACGTAACCTGACAGGAATGTTGACTATGCCCAGCAAAGAATCTTGATGAGCCTTGGATCATCTTGAACATTGAAGGCGAGCCACCGAAGGGGCACTTTTCACAATGTCCACTTTCATCATGCACAATTTTGACAAGTTGCTAGTGGCACTGCACAGAACGCTGTTTTGCATTTTTCAGATTCTTTCAGTATATGTCATGATCTTGCATGTGAATGTGTGTGTGTGCGTGCGCGCACAGTTAACTGCATCTTCAACGGAAATCCTTCCGACATGAGTTTTCCATTTGTGCTCTCAGATTCCTTTCAAGGCATATCATAAATGCCTGCGCACTCTGTTGCCCTTTGACAACGGTCATACTTCATATATGCTTGCAGTTGTCAAAGTTACATGCTCTCAAGGCTCGTGGCAATCAAAACGCTTGAATAAACATGAATAAACTAAACATACTAAACAGATCTAAACAGTGCATACATCCAGAGTCATCCAGTCTTCAGTGAATGTTTTTCGAGGTCAACAGTCTAGCCTGGTACAGCTCGCACGCAGGCATTGCGACCTGCGCTCCTTGATCTTCGTGGCGCAGGTGTGGTGACGAGTCAATCTGTTGAGGGGAGGTAAGTCATCAAGATTCATCAAGAGTAAGACTTGAGTCAAGACTTGAGCTGGCATGGTCTTGAACTTATCGGCCATTTGTTGGCATGGTTCTTGAATGTTCTTGACGTGTCCTATTGAAATGGGAAACCTTGCTCCCTGAGACCCTAAGATCACCTGATGACTTGGTTTTTTGTTTTATGGACAACAAATGTGTCAATGGGCGCTTGAGCCGAGGCAACACAGTGGCAGGAATAAGCCATGATCTTAGTAATATTAGTATGATTTTGCACGATTTTGGATGGGGCAACCTGGCATGGCCTCTTCCTCGGGTTTCGCTGTGTTTGACCACAACTTGTATCGACCGTTGTAGTCTTGCAATGTCTTGCAGTCACAAGACAAGCAGGTTCAATTTGTACAATCGGGGCCGAGTCCGTACAGCTCCACGCCTATTAGCCCACTACGCCACCCATCAGAACCCTACATCTCTTCGTCCAATCTTCGTCCAATCTTCGTCCAATCTTCGTCCAATCTTCGTCCAATCTTCTAAATTCAGCACATGGCGAGGTTCTTCACTTTTTCCTTGGTTTCACTCACAGTTGTCTAAGAAAATCGTATTAGGACCCACGATCTTTCGGATCATGTCCAATGCTTCCACCGCTCATTTGACCGCCCGTCTCACTCCGAAATGAGCGACTCTTCAAACCCATGTCTTTCACAGCCACGAGGTATTGCAGCGTGCCTTCAGGGTTTCTCAGGTTAAGGACCCTCATCACCCTCATCTTCTGACCGCAAGGGTGCAACATGGCCCTTGAAAAACAGGACGAAACTCGATGAAATAGATGAAACTCCAATTGCCTGAGGGTTCATGTTGCAGACACTTGCAGACCACAAGCATTCGGCATGTTTTACGACACACGTACGACACACGCTGCCGGAGGTATCGCGGGGTCCTCAAAAGCCGTTGCGTCCCCAAACGACCAGTGCGATGGACATCGAGAACATGGAGAGCAAAACCACCTGCGAAAAGGGCAACATTTTGCAACTGTCCAAGATTGTCCAAGCAGCAACTCATATCATCAATTATCATCATGTCATGTCGTGATATGTCGTGTCCCATCACCTTAGAATTCACTTCTGAGTTCCTTACGAAGCTGATGTTTGGGTTTTCCAATGGCGACAGATCTGCCAAGGCCAAGTTGGTGGCAATCTCAGGGGCCTCAAGTGCAAAACCGGACCTGAGGATCTGCCAAAAGGATCCAAAAGGTAAGGGGAATGAGTTTGAAGGTGGCTTGCTTCATGGACAAACTACGTGGTTGACAATGTACACCTCTTCTCAAACGAGCAAAACCTGGCAAGTCTGCCCAGTCCCGTCCAGAAAGCAAAAACCCTTCCACACTCTGGATCGCCAATCCAACTTCACCAACTTCATTACCTCGAAGTGAAGCTTTAATGCAGCCTCCCAGGCCTCCCAGATTGGTATGACATACTCCCCCTACTTTTCACATCTTTTCACCATACAAATATATACAAACATGCTCTCCCGCTCTAAGTCCGAGCTTCGTTGGAAAGCTGAGTCACAGCTTCTGGCGCCTGCAGTGGAGCCTGCACGACCCGGCTGTTTCTGTTTTCGGATGTCAGATGTCAGATGTGAGAAGTGCCCAAGAACTGAACAGAGCTCTTCCATTTTGATTCCACGAATGCCAGACATGATGGACCAGCCTGGATCCTAGATTCCTAGATTTTTCGTTTGAACATGTTTGAACCGAGCTTATTGTCAAATGAACTTGACCCCCCCTACTTGTTGTCGCTGATCTAGATCATATCAAAAGCAAAAAAACATTGAGTGTGGGATAGATTTCAAAAGCTTCGCTCTGTTGTAGCTGGTCTAAGAGTCTAGCCCGTTTTCTGAAGAAAAAAGCTGTCAGTGTTAGTGGAATGCTATATATTGCAATGTTAGATGCAGCGAACATTGCTGCATGATTTGGCTGAATGGTCGGAGGATTAGTGCAGGTGACTTTGCAATGTCTAGTTCTGGCAGTGTCTCTGGCACTGCCATATGCCTTTGGATACAACAAGTTGGCCCTGCGGTTTAACGTGTTGAAAAGAATTTTCAAGATCTTGAGAAGGGATGCTAGGATCTGCATCATGAAACTTGTCGGCAGTTTGTTTACTAAGAATGTGTTCTTCTCAGAAAACACCAGCGGCTTCCCAATGCGCTGTTGACAAGTGGTATCAGACGTATCCACATCGCAGCTTCATCTGAATGTCCAAAACCGTCATCTATTTCTAAGTATTGGTTGGATTACAATTTTCCCCAGCCAGTCGGATCAGGATAGATCAGCTATCAGCATCAACCGAGTGGCGTTGCTTAGACGCCCACCTGCACCAAGGGGCCAAGGAAAGCAGGTGCCGCCAGCATGGCCTGCAAATGATTAGTCTCCAACGAACTGTCAGAAAATGGATTCAACAGATCTGCGAACTGATAGAACTTGGAGATCTGAGAGCATTTCCTGGCTCCCTCAGCTCCACCCTCTCAGTTGTTTGGGCGTTAATACAAACAGCTACTTGTTGGAACATGTTGAGCCGCTGAGTCCCAGCTGCAAAGGCCAAAAACCCGAAAGCCAAAGGAGAACGTCGCGCTGGCCTCAGGCACGAGAAACTGATCACATCGAAAGATAGAAATTGCTGCGGATTGATGTGGTTGCCCCAAAAATAAACTGTAAAAAAAAATAACAACATGAAATGAGAGCAGTCAGAGCAATTCCTCAGTTCCTGTGATAAAAACACCTCTCAAAAATAGCCAACCAGTATGCCCTAGGCCCTACAATGCCCTACAAGTAGGCCCACCGGCCCTTTTCAAAGAAGTGCTTTTCCCACCTTTTCAAAGGGCAATGACTTTGAGATCTTTAAGAAACACACGGAAACACGAAAAACGCAAAGCTTCTCCGTAGATCTGTTCACTCAGTTCACTCTCTTGGCCCCCGCACGCCATGGCTGGTGTCAGTGGTGTCGAAAAAAACACGGGGGCGGAGGCGAAGCTGGAGCCCAAGCAGCCGCATGGATTAATTCACTGTCTGATTCTTGGATGAACAATCCAAACATCCAAAAACATCCAAACAAATGAAAAAAAACATCAAAAAACATCAACAAGCCTATGCCCTCATGAGCAAAGGCTAGCAAACTAAATTAGCAGAAACCAATGTTCTGGGTTGCTCATGAACAGTGCGTGCCAGTTTCGTCAAGAATTTATGCTTCCAGTCTTCAACACAATCTCCAGTTTGATCATTTACTATTCCGCATCATGTTGGGAGTCATCCCTTGATTTCTGGCAACCCTCATGCAATCCATCTTTTACATCCCGCTGCGAGCGGGTTGCGTCGTTTGACCGAAGTTGAGCTCAGAAAAAAGTGCCGGTGGCCCATCTGGAATAGACGGATGCTCCTGCCGTTGGTGTATGGCGGGTCAAAATCCCTGCGCCGCCGCCACATCAGTCTTTATGTTGCAGATGGACGGATTTCACAGGGATGGAGGGCGCACCAACAAGCATTTTGCAAAACATGTTGCATGCAATTAGCAGTTGCAATATATTCAGGATTCTTCAGGCATATTAGTATGTCGAGCAAATATAATCAAACTGTATGGCTTGAATGGTCGATTGCGGTCGAATACTGGCAACATCTGGCAACAAGTTCATGGTGAGATCAATCGATTATACTTGCCCTCAGCTGTGGCCACCAGCATCCACTACCACCTGCTGAGCCACCCCGTCACTATCCACCCGTCCGGCAGGTGCTTAGAAGCCATTGCGGCCCCAAACCACAAGCGCAATGGACATGGAGAACATGGAGAGCAACACCACCTGCGAAGGCAGAGATTCATGGTCCGATCATGTCTCTCAGAAAGCCCTTCTTACTTCGATTTACTTCGTGCTTCCGGTGCTCCAAAAAGTGCTCACAACATCTCACAACATCTCACAACCAGTTTGTTACACTCTCATCTGGGAGTGAGGTCCACCAGTTTGACCAGGACCCACGACAAGAAAATGGAACATATTGCATCATATTGCTGTGTTCCAAAGTCGAGGAACTGGGGAAATCCCACAGCCCTTCCAGGCCCCGCACGAATGAAATGTTTGGGTTCTCCAGGGGCGAGAGATCCGCAAGTGTCATGCTGCTGGCAATGTCAGACACCTGTCAAAAGGCGACTCAGGCTCCATCATGCTCCATCTCCCTACATATATACATCTATCATCATCTATCACAAAAAAAATACTCTATTGTCCATCATGAACAAGTGAGGTATGTGAGGTGATAAATCACACAAAGCTCTTGGCTGTTTGTTCTAAGTCAATAACATGTTGACTCCTGTTGCTCCCGGTGAGATGGAAAAAGGTATACGTACAAAAACGAGCAAGCTCTTGTGGCGAAAAAGAGCTATCTGTGGCCCGCTTCGTTTGGTACCTTTGGTACGTTTGGTACGTTTGGTTTGACTGTTTTTGTACGTTTTTGTTGTGATTCACTTCCTCTAATCGCTCTCGTGCAGCCCTTCGCCTGTGGCATTTGCGCCTGGGAGATCTCGGCTGCCTGGTGAAAGCTGCAAGAGTCCGGGCTTTGTTGACACAAGAAGTGCTCAAAACATGGTGGAACTACATTAAACTACCACGTAAACCAAGAAAGTGCACAAAAGTGCTAAGCAAAGTTCTTTTCCACCCCATGCTTCAAACAGGATTCGCAAACGGTGCCTTGTGCGACTGTTGCGCACATGACACAACCCGGAACTTGGGGGGACTTGTTGGGCAGCTGATGAGCTTGTTGCCCAGTTCATGAGCCTCATGCAGAAACAGCCTTTGGAAACTGCATGGATTCTGGATATGTATGGGACCTCAAAAGCAGAACATCTACACTCCTGCTTTATGACACATTTGATGAATCTATTGAGAGAAACGGAAACTGACATGTCATGGTGCTACTTAGGTACCCACTTGTTTCCTGAAGGCAGGACTGTGTACATCGTGGCTCATAACTTGGCTGAATTCGAGCAGAAGTGCTATAGAACAGCAGGGGTCCTCGTTTGTCCCCTGGGAAGATGTCACCGTGGCTCTGTCCTGCCATCGGAGCCTCAAAATTTTCTGTACATTGCGTCGGTTGTTGATGTACATTCAGTGCACATGTTGCGGCAATGTACTTGATTTGCCCCAATTGTCACTGCTAGAAGAAGAACCACATGCTTCCAGCAGCTCACATAGTAGTTGCACTCCCCCCTAATTTTGGGGCCCCTGACTTTAGAAACTTTAGTTCCTTTAGGCTACGGATGGCTTTACATATGCTGACAAAAATGCTGCGGAAGCAGGGAGTGTTCGAATCCACTCAGTGCAACTTCCATCATCTCTTTGCCATTGAAGACGTCCTATGGCCGCTGATAGCAGCTGTCCATTCCCACAAATCCAAGGGCCACCCTCCTCCCGGTAGACCTTGGACAGCATGGACAGAGCAAATCAAAGCGCAGCACAATAAACAAATAATCAAATCGCCAGATTGGGAAATGGAATTATGTCTGTCTGAGTTTTGAAGACCAAGGGAAAGATAGACACAACATGACACAACTACAGCTCAGCCCAGCAAATACGAGCAAAGACAAGCAACTTTCAGGAAAGTCTTCCAAAGCGGCGTCTTCTTCTGCCCCTTGTGATCCCAGGAAATCCGTGCCCGTGCACTGCACCCGCCAGTAGCCACCACTGACACGGAATGGCCCAATGAATCTACCCACTCACCAAGCAGAAAGCTGATTTGTGAAAAGTCGATGCCGTCAATCGTGAGGGGGCCCACAAGGCGGTCCAAAACCTTCTCTGGCTGATGCGTGTGATGCATGACTTCGCCATGTTCATCTGGTTCATCCACCATGAACCAATCCGCAGCGTGTTCCGAGGCCGCATCCTTGTCACTGATCAACGCCCATGATGCCAAGCTCACTTTGTCATCATCACCTTGGCACTTTTTCTCTCCATCTGTTGCGCAAAACATGCTGTACGACCTGAGCGATGTCCTTGACAGTAATGTTGGGCCAAATGGCTGGAGACACAAAATCTTCTCTCTTCTCTGGATCAGACCTCTCTAAGTCTTGTGGCACAGAACAGGGTCAAGTTTTGGGGTTTGCGAGTGAACTCGAGCTGTCAATGCCCTAGATGAAGAGATACCAACACGTTGGCATTGAAGTTTCGCTGCGCCTTTATTTTTGTCGGCAAAATAAACAAATGCCGTGTTTATATGTGTTTATGGTGTTTCATGGTGTTTCATGGTGTTTCAATGGTCCAATTTGTTGTCCTCTCCATCCCCTGCGCCTGTGGTGCGGAGCCAGCAACTGCCCGGCCGATGGGCTCGAGGAAGGCGGGCCAAGCAGCCAAGGCCTCAAGATCACTGCATGACATCATGGTCCGACGGACAATGACTACAGATATCTGCAGATACTACAAGGATGGTAGTGACTACTAGTGACCATCATGATTGTCATGATTTTCCTCGCCACCCTCATCATGATCATGGCCAGGGTGGTGATGTTACCCCAGTTTGAAAAGGTCTTTTTCCGCGGCCTTTGCCTTTGCCTTTGCCGTTTCCGCGGCCCTTGCCACGAGCTCTGCTGTCGCTCCGATCTCCGCTCCGGGCTGACAGCGGTTTCAGCAAACCCAGATGGTGCGGGAGGTAGTCACCGGCGAAGGCAAAATTTGGCCCCGAGGCCATTCGACTTTTGCATGATGCCCTCCACCTCGGCTCCACCAAACCGCAACAACCTTCACAAATATGTGATCCCGTGTCTCGTGCAAGCAAAGTCTCCCACAAAGCATCCGTTTATCTATGAAGCATCCATGAGTCCCCAAACCAAAAAAAACATTATCAAAAGAAATTTAGTTCGAACTTCCGAGCTAGGGACGAATGTCCAGGGGGTAGTCTTGTCATCATTGTATTCGTCATTGCGTGTGTTTTATGTCATCACCATTTGAACAACACAGTGAGCAAGAGCACTTCGCGTGTGTGGGAAATAGAAGCGAGTAACCGTTCGGGAGCACGTGAATTCACGGGTGAAAACATTCTCGGGCATGACTTTTTGGTGGGGTAATGTGGCTCCTGGGGTCGCCGAAGTAGGGTCTCTGTTTCCTCGGGTTCGGGGCTCGATCTGGGAAAGTTGTCAGCAAAAAGTGCACAGGACGCTAGCGAGAGCTCGATTTGCACGTCAAAATGCAAGAACCGGAGGTGCGCTGAGCACTTCTGGAAGATGAAGTCGGCAAAATGTGCACGAGAGTGTACAGGAAGGTTCGCGAACCGCGAACCGGGAACCGAACCGCGCGAACCGGAAACCACCCAGAAACCTGCAGTTGGGAAACCGAACCGGGAGGGAAGAAGTGTGGGAAAGGTAGGGAAGGATGAAGAGAGCGTAGGAGGTGGAACGGGGGCCTCGTTTAAAGAGCTGACGGGGCGCAAAGGAGCCCGGAAGGGGAGAGGAGGTGTTGGCGGCAGGGAAGGCAAGGAAGAAGGGGAAGCGGGCGCCTGTGGAGAAAGAAGCTCCGTGGTGTGTTTGAAAAATGAAGTGAAGGCGGGTGCTCCGCACTCTACACTTTAGAGTGTACACTTTACGCTTTACACTTTATACTTCACACTCCACAGTCTACACTTTACAACTAGACTTTACACTCTACACTTTACACTCCACACCGCACACTCTACGCTTGACACACTACACTTTACACCCTTCACTCCCATACTTTAGACGTTACACTTTACACTCCTCACTCCTCACCGCACACTTGACGCGCCATACTCCACACTTTACACGCCAAACTCTACACTTGACACGCTACACTTGACACTCTACACTCCACACTCTACACTTGCCACTGTGCACCCTTCACTCCACATTCCGCCCTCTACACTTTACACTCTACATTTTACACTTTACACTTTACACCCCACACTCCATACATTGTACACTTTACACACTACACTTTACACTCTACACTTTACACTTTACACTCCACACTCTACACTCTACACTGTACACACTACACTGTACACTCGGCACTCTTCACTCGACACTCCATACCTTACACTTTACACTTTACACTCCTCTCCTACCGCCAGGCATCAGCACCCATCTGCAACTTTCACCCGGCGGGCTCCTGTGCTTCCCAGCAGCTACCTAAAGAGCCCCACTCCAAATGGCCCCCCCAAGCCACGCCCTTTCTTCCCTCCAATCGAACCATATGCACCGCCAGCACAGTTCGCTGCTTTTACCAAGCATACCATGTCTACACACTACACTTTATACTCTACACTTTACACACTACACTTTATACTCTACACGTTACACTCCACACTTCACACTCTACACTTTACACACTACACTTTACACTCTACATTCTTTACGCTCTACACTCTACACAACACTTTCCACTCCACACTCCCCCCTCTTCACTTGACACATGACATTTCCGTCCTTTTCCTCAGGTGTCTCGTACTTTTTTCCTGCTCTTCCTCCACTGTTCTCCGTTTTCCCGCTCCGTAACGGCCCGTAACCTCCCGTAACCTCCTATGACCTCCTGTGACCTCCCGTGACAAAACGTTCCACACTCCACACTCCACACCTCACACTCTACACTTTGCACTTTACACGTTACAGTCTAAACTCCACACTCCACACTTTACATGCCACACTCGACACTTTACACGCTACACTTTACACTCTATACTTTACACTCCACACTCCACACTCCACACTCCAGACTCTACACTTTACACACTACACTTTATTCTCTACACGTTACACTCCACACTCCACACTCTACACTTTACACACTACACTTTACACTCTACATTCTTTACACTCTACACTCTACACAACACTTTCCACTCCACACTCCCCCGTCTACACTTGACACTTGACATTTCCGTCCTTTTCGTCGGGTGTCTCCTACCTTTTTCCTGCTCTTCCTCCACTGTTCTCCATTTTCCCGCTCCGTAACCGCCCGTAACCTCCCGTAACCTCCTATGACCTCCCGTGGCCTCCCGTGACCTCCCGGCCACACTTTGGCCCAAAACGGCCCTTTCCCAATGATCCCAGAAGAGGAATTCAATCTGCGGCCAAGGGGCCGCCAATGGCAGAAATTTGCTCCCGTAACCTCCCGTGGCCTCCCGGCTAGGATTTGGCCCAAAACGGTCGTTTCCCAATGAGTCCGGACGAGAAATTCAATAGCCGAAGGGTCGCGAAATGGCAGAACATTGCTCCCATGCCTCCCCGTAACCTCGCATAACCAACTGTAACCTCCCTCCCATACAAACACAGCAAAACGCTCCATACTCCACACTCCACACTTCCCACTCTACACTTTACACTTTACACGTTACACTAAACTCCCCACTCCACACTTTACATGCCACCTTCCCCACTTTACACTCGACACTCTACCACGGCAAAGTGGCAAGGGTTCCAGCAGCACAGATTGCAGCCAGGAATGGTCGTCTTTAACTCTTGCTCGCGCCCCACCAACCCGAAGCAGCCGCGCACATTATTGAAGCAAAGCAGAAAACAGTTCTAAAAGAATCGTATACAAAATTATAGGACCGGATAACCCCACATGTTACCAACTTCTCTATACTGAGACTGAGCATAGAAAAGCAACAGGGGAAGAGGAAGTATGAGAGTGATGGAGGGCTGATGGAGGGCTGATGGTGGGTGAGTTTGTGTGTGTGTGTATGTGCATGCACAGGTGAGTGAGTGAGACTGTGAGGGAGTGAGTGAGTGAGTGAGTGATGTGAGTGTGGTGTGTGTGAGTGAGTGAGGGAGAGTGAGCGAGTGAGAGTGAGCGAGTAAGTAAGTGAATGTGAGTGAGTGAGTGGAGTGAGTGGAGTGAGTGGAGTGAGTGGAGTGAGTGGAGTGAGTGGAGTGAGTGGAGTGAGTGGAGTTGAGTGGAGTGAGTGGAGTTGAGTGGAGTTGAGTGGAGTTGAGTTGAGTGGAGTGGAGTGGAGTTGAGTGAGTGAGTGAGTGAGCGAGAGTGAGCGAGAGTGAGCGAGAGTGAGCGAGAGTGAGCGAGAGTGAGCGAGAGTGAGGGAGTGTGAGGGAGTGTGAGTGAGTGTGAGTGAGTGTGAGTGAGTGAGTGAGCGTGAGTGAGCGTGAGTGAGCGTGAGTGAGCGTGAGTGAGCGTGAGTGAGCGTGAGTGAGTGTGAGTGAGTGTGAGTGAGTGAGCGTGAGTGAGCGTGAGTGAGTGAGTGTGAGAGTGTGAGTGAGTGAGTGAGTGAGTGAGTGAGTGAGTGAGTGAGTGAGTGAGTGAGTGAGTGAGTGAGTGAGTGAGTGAGTGCGTGAGTGCGTGAGTGCGTGAGTGCGTGAGTGCGTGAGTGCGTGAGTGCGTGAGTGCGTGAGTGCGTGAGTGCGTGAGTGCGTGAGTGCGTGAGTGCGTGAGTGCGTGAGTGCGTGAGTGAGTGAGTGAGTGAGTGAGTGAGTGAGTGAGTGAGTGAGGGAGTGCGTGCGTGCGTGCGTGCGTGCGTGCGTGCGTTCGTGGCGGCGTTGCGTGCGTGGCGTGCTGGCACGTGCCGTGCGGTGCGGTGCGGTAGCGGTGCGGTAGGTGCCGGTGGGTGCGTTTCGTGCGTGCCGTGGTGTCCGTGCGTGGCGTTGCCTCTTGCGCGGGCGGCCCAAGCGACGTGCGCGAGATCGAGGGGAATTGTGTGAGTGAGAGTGAGTGGTCCAAGTGCCATAGACCAGCATCATGACCTGAGCAGACAAGTCATGAATAAAGAAGCCATGATAAGCTGACAAGCAAGCAATCTGAATGAGCTGAGTTGATACATCGCCGTGCCCTGCTTCTGAAGGGCATGACCTGAGCAGAGCAGAGTGGCGGAGACCAAAGGACGCCAGTGCGTACATCCGACCCCTTGCAGAGCACCAAGCGCGGCGCCTGCCACGCAAAACCTACCGGCAAAGCGGCGGAGACCAAGGGACGCCAGGGCGTACATCCGACCCCTTGCAGAGCACCAAGCGCGGCGCCTGCCACGCAAAACCTACCGGCAAAGCGGCGGAGACCAAGGGACGCCAGGGCGTACATCCGACCCCTTGCAGAGCACCAAGTGCGGCGCCTGCTGGGGACCCCTTAGGGTATGTGGGGGGACCTTTCCATTTTCCTTTTTAAGGTGGGGTTGCCTACTCCTGTCCAATCCTGATCCTGGCTTTGGAGACCAAGAATGCCTAAACAAGCCTAAACAGTGCATCGCGCCATTTTATAGGGTGCACAGCCGCATGGTCAGGGCAGGGTTTTACCTGGGACTGGAAAGCTTTCTCAGGCTTCAACCTGGCACTGCGGTGGGTAATAAGCACCTTTGGTGCCATCCATATATCAATATTCCCACTTCATGTTGCGTACCGTGTCTCAACACTTGGGCAAACGGGACGGCCGGAGGTATATTAAAAACATAAAAGCTGGTTCACATTTTAGGTTTTGCCACCTTGATCCATCGCAATCTGATCCCGTTGTAGCGGATAGGTGCAAAGCTTTTTCAATTAGCTTCAAAATGGTTGATTTAAGCTTCCAAATCGTCGATTTAGCTTCAAAATCGTCGATTCTAGCTTCACACGGTGCTAGGGCGACGTTAGGGCGACGTTAGGGCGACGTTAGGGCGACATTAGGGCGTCTGTAGGGCCTTTCCTGCAGCTAAATGCCGCATCACATGATGTGGCAATCCTCCAGGGGCCAACAACAGGGCACAACCGACCAGATTGTTTTT